GCCAACAAATACGAGTTTTGATCGGAGAGCATATCGGCGTCGATTACAGACGCCATTCGGGTGCCAATAGAGGCCACTCGACACACCTCTCTATTGACTACTCTATCAAATTTAGTTGACTTTTTAGCAGATGCCTTAACCCTGTCCTCCATCATCGCCGGTGTCTCCGTTTGTTCAATTCGGGCCACTTTATAGCCCTTCTGTATGAGTACATCGGCGTAGCGTTTGAAGGCCTTCTCGGGAAAGCCGGCGTGCGCTGAGTCGCCCCTCATGTACACAATCTTCAGCTCATTCACGGCTAAAACGGCGTCCATGTGATAGAGTTCGTAGAATTTGCCCACTTTGAAGAACAGCACCACATCGTAATGTTGACACTTAAATACCCACCACTGCTTCAACGCTGGCGTACAACTAATCCACACATTATATACAAAATTAAAGTTAATTATAATTGAAAACAAATTTAAAATATCAAACTTTTAGTAGTAATTACTTGTTTAGAAAGCTCTCGGGCACTGACAGAGTGGTCGCGTCGTATTCGGGATTCACTTCGCCGTTCAATAGTCTAAATCTTCCCTTTTTGTCCTTTAGTTTCTCTGGCTTCAGAAACTCGTAGCTATAGTGCGTCCACTCTTTGGCGCCGCTCTGTTCGTTGGTGTAGTCGACAACTGACACGAAAGACTCTTCGCCGACAGACATAACACTTTTGTTGAGTTTCTTAGCACTAGATTTAGGAGTGGATAACGAACTGCTCTTTGCCTTTGAATTCGTCGGTTTCGCGGAACTGAGTTTCTCTGATCTCTGTGTCAACCAATTGCTCTGTTTATTCTTCGGCGTCGAAATTTCCGCTTTTGCTTTAGAATCAGTGTTTGACACTTCGGAATCAGATTCTGTGTTCCGATTCTTCGACTTATTTATTGGCTTTTTCTTTGGTTTGCTTTCAGAATCCGATGAATCAAAATCAGATCCAAGACTTATAACATCAGATTCTGTGTTCCGATTCTTGGATTTATTTATTGTTTTCTTCTTTGATTTGCTGTCAGAATCCGATGAATCGAAATCAGATCCAAGGCTTAGAACATCGGATTCATCAGAAGAAGTCATCCTTTTCTTCGACTTTTTATTAGATTTTT